CCTGTCGCCGGGCTGGGCAGCAGGACGACAGTGAGCACTCGCACGCGCGCGCTCCGGCTGTCGCCACCGACGCGGCAGGACGACGATGAAGCGGTGGGACTGGAGCGCGGGCGCGCACTGGAGCTTGAGGAGCAGAGACACCTGCAGGGCCGGAGGGCCGCCTCAGCCGCGTGCGGGGCAGGGTGGGACGGCACTCGGTGTGCTGCGAGCACCGCGGGAGAGACAGAGAGCATCGCACGCAGCCGCACCATCGTGGCCTCGCTTAGCGCCTCGCCGCCGCACGCCTTTGCCAGAGCCGCCTCGAAGGCCGCCTCCCGGTCGCCGCCGTCGGCGGGCGGTGGCAGCGCTGCCGGCGGTGCAGGAGGCACCAGCAAGTGGATCCCGCCCGCAGCGAGCGCCCGGCCATAGTCGCGCTTGACCTACCGTGTCAAGCCGGCTCGGCGGTGCAGATGCGCACCGTCTCTCTTGCGCTCTGACGCTCGGAGGGCGATACCTCCTCCTCCCCTCCGACGTCCCCTCTCTCGAGCTGCACCGTCCCCTTGGTTTGCAGTCCGCCTGGCGGCGGAAGTGCCGGCGGCACGCCACGATAGACGCAGCGATGGAAGTACGTGGCAGCGGCCAGCCCCGCGCCCAGAGTGACGAGCAGCGTCGTCCAGTCGAGGTTGCTCGGGTCGATGGAGTGCAGGGACATTTATGTATGTGTTGGGCCAGCGCCCACCAAGCCACGCCGGCGACAGGGTTCCGGCTCCTAGCCGGATAGGGGGTCTGTTGACTGGCTGGCCCCTGTTGATGTGAACCGCGAATGGCAGTTATCCGTTGTACGGACGTCGTCGCGGCTCGCCTCTGCCGCGGCGGCTGCTGCGCGCACGCGGCGGCGCCGCTCTCTCGCGAGACGGCTGGCGACGCGGCTCGCCGCCGACGTACGCTGCGCTCGTCCGACGGTCCGCAGCGTGGCGTGCGCGGCGCTGCGCGCCGCTCTGCGAGCGCTTCTGCGCCTGCACTGCATGTCTCTGTTGCTGCTGGTGGTGGTGATGGTGCTGCTGCTGGTGGACATGCTGCTGCTGGCGCGGCGCGGCTCTGCGACTGGGCTCGACGAGCGCGTCGCGAGCATCTGACGCGGCGGGCGGCGTCGGGCAGGTGCGCTTCTTACTCTGGTGGTGGTGGTGGTGCTGCTGCTGCTGCTGCTGGTGCAGATGCTGCTGCTGGTGCGGCGCGGCTCTCCGACGCGACTCGATGCGCGCGTCGTGACAATCTGACGCGGCGGGCGGCGTCGCGGGCGGCAGCGGTGGGTCCCCGTTTTCGGCCGCCGCGGCCGGAGAGCACCCCCGTCGCCCCCGGGGGCCCGTCGACACCCCAGGGTGAAGGCACAAGTGTTCGAAGAGAGAGTGGACCTGAGCAACGATATGACTTGGCGGCAAATGATCGGAGTGGGAGTCAGAAATGTCGTCCTTGCGCGAGGGGAGCTCGATAGACTCGAGGGGCCAGGATATGCAGCAAGGAGGGCGGAGCTGCGCCGAAAGGCGAAAGAAGCCGAGAGAACAAGGGAACGGCAGGCGGCGGCGGCGGCGCAGAACGAGGCAGAGGAGAGCGACGCGACAGAGGAAGAAGCGACAAGGGAGAGCACAACGAGAAGGGGGAGATCGCGAGGTGGCACGAAGGTTGCAGCGAGAATCGGAGAGAGACTGCGAAGTGAGATAGGAAGAGGCGGACGCCCAAGGGTGGGCGACGGCTAGCGCACCACACCCCTCTCCTTAAAATCCCTGTGTGGTGGCGGCGTGCCGTTCTCCCATCCCTCCTTTGGGTTATCACTTTTCTTTCTTTCTTTCGGCAAGGGGACGTGCTGGAGGCGAGGGGGGAGCAACCGTCGCAACGGGCGAGCACGTCCCGAGCCGGGGCGACAGCAGTGGATCGGCCTCCCCCGACGCGGATCATGCCAGGAAGGGCTCGAGACAGCCCGGAGAGATTCGTGCCGGCAGCAGACAGGGTAAGACTCCGACAGAACGCGATCCGAGAAGCCGAGAGGGATCGTGAGGCCACGGTGGCGGGCGAAAAGGCGGTCCTGGCGGAACTGAGGGCGATCGGTCTGTCGCTCACAGCCAGCTACAGGCCAGTGCAGGCACGGGAAGTGCGGGGACTGGCTGAACGACTAATTGGCTCGACGGACCTTGGGCAGGTGTTCCGGTGGGGGGGGAGGACTACCTCGTCAACGACATTGCACCTACTTCCCCCCCCCCCCACCACCACCACCACCTACCTACCTATTGCGGGGCCCTCTGGGGCGGTCAAAACCGGACCTACCTACCTATTGCATAGGGTCTAACCGTGGAAAAATGACCCCCTAAAGGAGCCGGAACCCAGCTGGGTCCGCTGTCCGCTGACTGGGTGGGGCGGGCGTGGGTGTGCGTGTTTTGTACAGAAGCCCGCAGGCAGCTTGGTCGCGAGTTCGCTTCGCCTCATAGAGCAGCTGTCAGAGCAGCTACCCGCGCAGTCGATTCCCTACGTACGTAGGAGCGATGCTGCGCCTGGTCGCGACATCCTCGGTTCCTCGGCTCAGCTCGCGCGGCACGGCGCTGGCTGCGCGCCGCTGCTCTGGGGCGGCGCCGGACGAGCGCTCGCTATTTGAGCGGCTTCGCGATTCGATACGAACACCGCGGGCCGGAGTCCGCTCAGGCCGAAGGCTGGTCGGCACCGACGATCGTGGCAACCGATACTTCGTCATCCCGGCCGCGGTCCGCACGCACGGCGGAGCGGCAGCAGGCGAGGTCCGCGAGGTGGTTTTCCCAGACGACTACGATACGGCGGAGTACCATCCCTCGCATGTGCGCGCTGTTCTGCCTGTGGCGGGCGGTGACAGTCGCGATGGACCACGTATGGTGCATAGGTACCCGTCGAGTGGCAGCAGTGGCTCTCGAAGCAGGCGCTGGAGCCGCCCTCTGCCGCCGCCCTCGAGGCGCCGTCGGCCTCGCTCGAGCCGGCAGGGGAGCAACAGCAGCCGGCGGTGAGGGATCGGGAGGCCGCTCTGGCAGAGGAGCGCGCCATACTGGCGGGCAAGCGGGCGAGGGAGATGAGAGATAGCTGGCAGAGAGGGGCGGTGAGAGGAGGGGGATGAGCCTGGAGGAGCCAGGGCGGCGGTGCTAGGCCCGAATATGACGCGGGACGGAGAGGTCACAAGCAGGCGAGGGGCACGGGAGCTGACAGGGGAGATGGTCTCCGTGGCGGCGCGGTTGACTGGGCCGTCCTTGACTGATATTCGACGAGAGTCGAGCAGGATGATTTCGAACGCCTTTGCTCGGAGGACTTGTGTCAAGTTCATATGCGCGCGCGGGCGACCGGCCTGAGGTTTCCAGCGCGCAGCGGGCTGTCTCGGCTGACGGTGACGCGTGAAGTGCTGGCACTTAAACCGTAGCCCGATCACCATCGCCCACACGAAAAGACCACACGACGACAAAATCATGTCACGAGAACCACTACCCACAAACTCGCGCCGTGCCGCACATCCACATGCGCGCACTGCGCGCTACGCCAAGAAGGCCGCCAGCGGGGCGGAGGAGCAGATCTCGGGGAAAGCGAGGAGCTCGTCTAGCATGCGCTGCAGCAGCGCGACGCGCGCCGACACGATGGCCGGCGCCTTTGCGCCCCTGCCCGCGTGCCGCTTCTCGACGAGCAGCCGCGTCTTCCACCCGTCGACGCAGCCGCGCGCCTCTCGCGAGACTCGCTCGCCCGGCGCCTCGCGCCCGAGCCGGTTGAGCAGCTCGACGAAGGCGGAGAAGCGGCGCGTGCACGTGCGGGCCGGCCTCCGCTGCCCCTCCACCTCGAGCGAGTAGACCATGTGCGTGTCCCCGCGCCCGCCCGCAGAGACCTCCGCCGCGCCGGTGACGACCACGCGTAGCCCCGCCGGCGGGGCGGCGGGAGGCGCCCCCCCGCCGCCGGGCTGCGCGGCCGCCTCTGCGTTGAGCGACTCCTGAAGCGCCCACGCCAAGGCCTCGTCCTCGGAAGCGCCGTTCGCGGCGGCGGCGGGCGGCCCAACGTCCGCTGCTGCCGAGAGGGAAAGGGCATACGCGAGCTGCTCCTCCTCGCTCATCGCCTCGGGCGACGCCGTCGGCGGCGGCGGCGGCGAGCTCTCCATCGAGTTAGCGAGGGCGAGGGCGAGCGCCTCCTCCTCCGACATCCCGCCCACGCCCTGCCCCGCCGCCCCCTCGCCCCCCCGCTCTTGGGGCGCCCTCGCCGCCTCGCCAGCCGCACCGCCGACGCTCCCTCTCGCCGCCTGGCCGCTCGCCCCCAGAGACGCGATGGCGGGCGCCGCTCGCTGCCCAAAGAAAGCGCCGAGGAACCCGCCCCTCGCCGCCGCGGGCCGCGGGCCGCCCGGCGTGGTCGGCGGCTGCGCCACCTCGGTGGTCGCCGCCGCCGCCGCCGCAGCTGCCGCCGCCGCCGTTGCCGCCGCAGCCGCCGCCGCCGCAGCCGCAGCGGCCGCCGCGCCGCCTGCGTCGTCCGCCTCCGCATCGCGCGCCGCGGCCACCGGGGATGGCGGGTCTGCCGGCGCGGGCGTAATGGCGTGCCGCTCCTCCGCCTCCGCCTCCTCCGCCGCCGCAGCCGCGTGCGCTAGCTCTGCCCTCGCCGCCGCCATCACCCGCGCCGCGGCAGCCTCTTCGCTCGGCTGCCGGAGGTGCGCCGCCGTGCCAGCCTGCGGAGCCGCCGCCTTGTCCCCTCCCGAATGAGCCCTGCCCGCGGCCGCCTCCCCGCGCGACTCAGCTGACGGGGCGGCGACGGCGGCGTCGAGCTCGTCCAAGACGACCGACGCCTGCTCCACAAACGCCGCCGCGGCGCGCCGCTCTCCCTCGCGCTCCTCGCCCCGGTGCCGCGAGTTGCGCGCGCGCTCGGCCGCGGCTGCGGCGCGCGCCTCGCTCCGCCGCTGCTTCTCCTCGATGCTGGCCGCCTGCCGCAGCGACACCTCGTGCTGAAGCCGCGCTCGCATCGCCTCGCGCTCCACCCGCGCGGCGGCTCGCGAGTCGGCACGGCTCCCTCCCCGCCGGCCGTCGGCGCAGGAGGACGTGACGGATCCCGTCTCCGAGTAGAGGGTCGAGCCAGAGTCGCTGCGGCGGAGCGTCGGCGGGGCGCCGCCTTCGAAGGGCGACGAGGGCGCAGCGGCTAGCGGCGCCCCGGCGCCCGCGCTGCCCTCCTCCGTGCTGCCCTCCTCCTCCCTGCCGCCCTCTCCCAACGAGCCCCTCGCCCCCTGCCCAGAGGACTCCGCCGGTGGACCCGCTGCCAGCCCCTCCGCCTCCTCCGCCTCCTCCGCCTCCTCCGCCTCCTCCGCCTCCACCGCCTCCTCCGCCTCCACCGCCGCCGCCTCAAAAGCTATCGCTGCCGCCGCCGCTGCAGCCACCGCCGCCGCAGCCACCGCCGCAGCCGCTTCCCTCGCCGGCGACCGCTCTCCCCGCGACGCCTCCCCGCCCGAAGCACGGACGGACTCCAGTGCGCAACCAGCGCCGCCGCCCTCCTGCTCCTCCTCCTCCACCACCACCACCACGCCCTCCACCTCCGATGCGGGCCCCGCAGGCTCCTCCTCCTCCGCTGCCGCCTCCGCCGCAAGCGCTTCCTCCGCTGCCCTCTCCTCCACCTCTTCCCCTCCCAAAGCTGAGCCGCCCTCCTCGGCGCTGCCCTCCTCGCTCCTCCCGGAAAGCATCGGCGGGGGCAACGGTGCCAACTGCGGCGCCTCCTCGAGCTCTTCCTCTCCCGGCGCCAGCACGGGCGTCTGCGAGAGCTTCGCTGCGCGCGCCGCGAGCTCCGCGGCCGTAGAGGAGGGGCGGGCCGCCGGCGCGGCTGAAGGGACGAGAGGTGCAGCGGGCGGTGTAGCGGGAGTGGGCGGTGCGGGCGGCTGCACCGGCGCCGGCGTGGGAGGCGGTGCCGGCGGCGGTGGATCGGGCAGACGGCCGCGCGCCGCGCGCCACGCCGCCTGCAGCTCACTCGCCGCCGCCTCGCGCTGCCAGAGGGGGGCGGCCCTCTTGTGCTTTGGGCGCGCTGGCCGCCTCACCAGCAGCGCGAGGGAAGGGCCGTACCGCTGCGCGAGGGAGGCGGAGAGCACCGCCTCGGACACAGCCTCGCACGTGTAGAGCGGCTCGCCGTCCACCGCGCAAACCACGTCGCCGCGCCTGAGCCCCGCCGCCGCCGCCTCCGAGCCCTGCTCGACCGACTCGACAAGGGCGACGCCGCGGCGGTCGCTCAGCGACAAGCCCGGCTCCGAGGCGGGCTGCAGGTAGAGCTCGAGCGTGGAGTGGGCAGGGCTTCCGTGGTGGACGAGCGCTCGCTCCGCCTCTCCGCCGCGCCAGCCCGCCGCCACAGCCTGCTCGACCTTTCCGTACGAGAGGAGCGCCTCGACCTCCGCAACCCGCCGGCCGGCAGGAGCCTCTCGCCCCGAAGCAGGCTCGGCGGGGGTCGCGCCGAGCGCCCTGCCGGCGGAGCGGAGCCAGACCGGCGTCCCGTCCGCCGGACCAGCGTCACGTTCGGGCGGCAGCTCGTTCGGCGCGGCAGCGGAGCGCGGCGGCGCGTCAGCAGCCAGCGCGCGAGGCGAGACCGGCGCGGCCGACGGAGCGATTGGAAAGCTGTTGCGGACGCCGGGGGGGGGCGGGAGGCTGCCGTAGCCGCCGCCGGCAGACGCGGCCGCCGCTAGCCCGCCCGCGCCGCTCTGCGGGCCGCAAGCTGGTGCGGGAGGTGAGATCTCCCCATATCTCCCCATATCTCCGCAAGCTGCCTCGGGAGGTGAGCGGCCGGGGTAGGAGGGGGGGGCGGGGTAGGAGGGGGGCGGCGCCCCTCCTCCCTGCGCAGCGGGGTAGCCCGTAGAGGGGTAGCCCTTCCGAAGCCAGCTCGGGCCGGCAGGCGGAGGCGCGGTGCCGGGGTACGGCGCCTGTTGCGGCGGCGGCGGAGGCGGAGGCGGCGGCGTCTCGTGCGGCGGCGTCGCTGGGAGTGGCTGCGAGGGAGGGGGCGGAAGGTCGCGAGGAAGAGAGGGGGCGAGGAGCGGCTGCGGCGGCGGAGTGGCGTGCGTGGCGGCCGGCAGTACCGCGGCCGGGCGTACCGCGGCCGGGAAGACGGGCGTCGCAAACTGAGCGGTCCAGTCGAGCGGGTTGCGCTGCTCTCCTCGGAAAGAGATCAAGTCCTCCGACCCGTTGGAGGAGGTCCGCGCGGCCTCGGGCGCCGCTGCAGCGAAGGGCTGCGTGTCCGGGTGTAGGGGGGTGGCGAGGTTGCCGGTCCGAGGCGGAGGCGGGTCGGGCTCAATCTCGATCAGCTTTGCAACCCTCGGCGGCTGGTGGGTCGAGCGGCGGCGCGAGGCGAGGAGCCCGCCGGCAGAGAGGCTGTCTGACGAGATGCCCCCTCCTCCGCCCTCCGGAGGGGGCTCGCCGTCGGGCCCGGGCCGAGGGGCGGCGGGGGCGACGCGCGGCGGAAAGAAAGGCGGCGGCGGCGGGAGCGTGCCAAGCGGGCTCGCCAGGGCCGACGCCGGAATGCCAGACCGTGCGGGGGGACGCGGCGCGGCTGCGGCTGCCGGAGGCTGCGGCTGCGCCAGAGGAGGCGGCTGGAAGGAGGTGGCGGGCGCGAAAGCGAGGGGTGCATCGGCGGGCGGCGGCGGCGAGTGGTATGCGCGAGGCGGTGGCGCTGGCGCTGGCGGCCCTTGCGGCGGCGAGGGAGAGGAAAAGGAGGCTCGCGCAGGAGGAGGCGCGAGGGGAGCTGCCAGAGGCCGGCCGGGTGGCTGCGGGGGCTGGTGCTGGCGAGGCGGATGGTAAGGGAGCGGCTGGGGCTGGGACGGCAGCGGCTGCCGAGGCGGCTGGTAAGGCGGCGGCGGCGGCGGCGGCGACGAGAGCCGTGCGGCCGGCGCGGGCTCTGCCTGCCGGGACGCCCACAGCGCATACTCGAGGTGCTCCTCCTCGGTCATGTTTGCTGTCGGGGGCGGTGGAGGACGCGCCGGCGGAGGAGGCTGAGCCTCGAGCGACTCTCGGATGGCGCGCTGCAGCTCCTCCTCCTCCCTCTCGGCAAGGCTGTCGGATGGCGGCGGCGGCGGCGGCGGCGGCGGCAGCCCGGGCGGCGGCGTAGGTGGGTAGGACCGTGGGGCCGGATACGCCGGCCTTCCCTGCATCGCGTACCCCGACGCACGCGCTGGTTGAGCGAGAAGTCGCCGAAAAAGATCCCGCGAACCCCAGCGTGGCCTTTTTAGCCCGAGAGCCCGACACGCTATCCGATCGCGGCGCACGGCTGCCCTGGGACAGAAATAATTTTGAACCCTCCCGCTCACACCACACACAGGCACGGCACTGGCGCGCACTGCCACTGGCATTGGCCTGCACAAGCTTTTCCGGCAAACAAAAAGGATAAAGTATTATCCTAACGGTGTGGGGGCGCGGAGGGCTTGTTGGCGAGCCAAAATGGTGTTTTCCGAGGCGCTGCGCTAGGCTCAGAGCGAGTTCGCGCTGCGCTAGGCTCAGACGGCGAGTTCGCGCTGCGCTAGGCTCACAGATGGCGAGTGCGCTGCGATAGATTTGCGCTGCGATGAAAAGACCCCGCTATAGGAGCCGATAACCCAAGGGAGGAAACGCAGCGTTTTCTTCTTGCGTCCAACTCCGGCAGTTGGTCCACCAGCATGGCAGCCTCCAGCGACCCGGCCGCCAGAAAACACGCCTGCGTGGATCGCGTCACACCAATCCTCGCTACCCAACGCGGCCAAAGGATATCCACCTAGGTAGGTAGGTAGTAAGGTGAAGAACAGCCAGGCTCGGACTGGACACCAACGCGGTATGGGTGGACGCTAGACAGATGATGACGACACGCACGAGCGACACACAGACACAAACAAGCTCACAAGACACACAGCCAGCTGGCTGCCACACACCCTGAGTCGGCGTACACATAACTCAGGACCACATCCTCCCTGTCGCCCCCCCCAGCACTCCACGGTGCCAAGGGCACAAACAAGGGCACAATTCAAACAACAGACGACAGGAAGTGATATGTGAGGCTAGAGCAGCATGCTCCACCTCTAGCAATCTCGCCGGCCGGCGAGGCACGGACGAGACCGTGTGTGGGGTCTAAGTGAGGTGTCTATGGACGCTCTCCTCACGGGCTAGCTGCCTACGGCTAGCCCTATCTCGCCTCGAGAACCTCGAGAACCTCGAGAAAAAAACCCCTGTTTTTTCCGCTTTTGGCCAACAGTCGCCCTGTCGCCCTCTCGGTGTGCGTCCTTGGGTCGATATGGCGACTCCGGGACGCGTCATCATAAAGATGTCGGTGCGTATACCGGACGGCCGCGAGGGCACGATCCACGTCTTTCCGGGCGACGACCCGCATGTTCTCGCGACAAAGTTCTGTGCGAAATACAACATCCCGGAGCGGGTCGCGATGGTCGAGCGCCACGTCGCCGAGAACATGCGAGCGCTTATGCCCGGAGGGCAGCCCGGAGGGCAGTCCAACGCCTCGCCGGCGGAAGAGGCGGCTGCGGCGGAAGAGGCACCTGCGGCTGAGGCGCCGACCGACGTTGACCTCGAGCGCAGCTCGGCCGCCTCGCCCGACCCGTTCGGATCCGCAGACAGCGGCGATGAGTCGGCGCTCGCGCTGGCCCCGGCATCGCAGGCCGACACGGGCGCGCGCGCGCGCGAGCTGGCTGTCGCTTGGGCCTCGCAGCGGTCCGGTACGTGGTTGCGCAACCAGGCCTTTTACCGGCTTCGCGCGCACACGGCGGCGACCCGCGCGGCGCGGCGCGAGGCGAGCAAGGACCAGCAGCTCGCCGAGCTGCACGCCGCCAACGGCCGCATCGCCGAGGGCCTCTTCCGGGTCTCGACTGCGACGTCCGACGCGGAGGCGGACGCGGCTCGCGAGGCACTGCAGCAGAGCCTCGCGCCGAACTACACGGCGCGGCTCGCGGCGGACGTGGCGCGGCGGCGAGGGACGCAGCTCGAGGCGGTGGCGGCGCAGCTCGGCGCGTGGAATGCCGCCGACCGCGACTGGCGCCTAGTGCGGAGAGCGCTGGAGGGGTGGGCTGCGCTCACGGGGAGCGGGAGGCGGCGCGGCGCCGCCGCCCAAGCCCTCGCCGCCCAAGCCCTCGCCGGCCCCGCCCGTGGCGGTGGCGAGGAGGGCGGCGAGCGGGCGGAGGCGGAGGCGGAGGCGGCGGAGCCGGCCGAGGCTGCTGCTGCTGCTGCTGCGACCGCTGCTGCCGCTGCTACTGCGGCGGAGGAGGAGGAGGAGCGCGTGCAGCTACGAAGGCAGCTCGGGGAGGCGATGGGGCTGGTGGCGCGCGGTTGGAGGGAGAGGCACGTCTGCGGCTGAGCCGGGTGTGTGCCCGGGGGGTAGGCGAGGTCGATGGTCGAGGCGCGTGACGCGGAGCTAGCGGAGCTGGTCGCAGAGCTCGTGCAGGTGTAGCCGAGACATGGCCGAGACATGGCCGAGAGATGGCCGAGACATGGCCGAGAGATGGCCGAGAATTGGCCGAGAGATGGCCGAGAATTGGCCGAGAGTCAGCCGAGCTTCTCGCGGAGCTCGCGCAGGCGAAGCTGCAGAACGCCGAGCTGTCGGGAGAGCGGCTCGTCGAGGGGAAGGCGCTGATGCTGCTGCAGCGCGAGGTGTCGCAGCCGGCGATGCCGCAGCCAAAGGCGAGCCGCGCCTCCTCCAAGCGGAGTAAGCAGCGGCGCGAGTCCCCGGCCAGCGTCCGGGCCGGGCCTCCCGCGGTGATGGAGGCGAGCTGCGATTTGGGCAGCGGCGACGCTGAGCACAAGTAGACTCGCTTCTTCAAGGCGCCGGACTTCACCGCAGCGCAGTTTTTGTGCTGACATGTTGTGTGTTTCCTCTTGCGCGCGTGCACATTGTGTGGCTGATTTAGAGTTAGCAGGTCGCCACGCTCGGATGTGAGAGACGCCACGGTAGACGTACGATTGTCGATTGTGGTTCTCTTATACTACGCTAAAATCTACTTTGCGCCCGGCATCGGCCATCGCGGAAGTTTGACCCCCCCCCCCACCAGTAGCCCAGTTGACAACACCCGCCTCCCATCTCGTCTCTAATAATAGCGCCGGCCCGGACCCCGGTGTTTCCCGCCGAAGAGGCGAAGACTGATCAAGGCGCGTTCGCAGTGCGCAGGGGCCCCATCGCGGCCTCGCCCTCTCCCCTCCCTTGCAGCGTGGCGAGGTCTCTCTGCACGAGCTCCATCATCGCCGCCTGCCTCCGCCGTGTCTCCTGCACCTCCCACAGCCGCTGCGAGAGCTCCTTTTCCGACGCGGCCAGCGCCTCGTCCTGCTGCCGCAGCACCGCGAGCTCGGCCGCCCGCTCCACCGCCTCCGCGCGCTTCTCCTCCTCCTCCTCCTCCGCCGACGGACCTCCCTCTGCGGGTCTGTGTGTGACCGCCGCAGAGACAGTCGCCTCCCGCAGCAGGGACGTGTTTTGCAGCACCAGGTGGAAGATGCCGCTGCCCGGCACGTGGATGGTGCCCGGAGGCGGCGACCCGGCGGCCGTGTCGAGCAGAGTGGGCGGCAGGACGGCCTCGCCGCGCGACGGCAGCAGCGAGAGGACCAGCGATGGCTGCAGGCCGAGCGAGGAGCGAGACGCGTCGAGCAGCTGCACCTCGTACCGCACGAGGGAAGGCACCGGCAGCACAAGCGGCACGCGCAGCTCGGCGCCTATGGGAAGCTTCCCGTAGGCTCGGGCAGGGCTCCACACAGCAGCACGGGCGGCCTGCACAAGCTCGGAACCGGGCTGCAAGCTGAGCGCAGACGAGCACCACGCGGCGCGTGCCGGGGGCGGCGTCTGCCCCTCGAGCGCGCCGCCAAACGAGAGGCGGCCTATGGACATGTCTCGGACATGTCATGGACGTCCGCGACATGTCCAGCCGCCAAACGAGACGCGGCCCGCGCCGCCGTCCCCTCGAGGCGCGGCGCTGCTCGTCTGCGGCGCCTCGTCTGTCAGGTCGGCCGCGCCGTCGCAAAAGGAGACGGCGGTGCGCGAGACGAGGACGAGCTCGCCGTGGTCCATCTCGTGGTGGCCCGGCGTCGTCACCGCGACCTGCCGCGCCTGCTCGCGCCGCAGCGTGTACCCGCGCATCTGCAGCACCTCGGGGCAGCGGTCGTCCTCGAGCACTGTCGGAGAGAGGTCCTCGAAGCGCCAACCCTCGTTTTGCACCACGAGCGAGCGAATGTGCAGCGAGGCGCCGTCGGCGACCGAGATCTCGAGCGAGCCTAGGGCCGAGGCACCGGCGAGGGTGCGGCGGGAGACGCGCGGCGCCGGGAGCAGACAGCGCATGTTGCGCGAGCCGTCGAGCTGCAGCTCGTCGATCCGAATGTGGCGGCCGGTGACGAGCAGCGCACTCTTGCGCAGACGGAGAGCCTGTTCACAGCTCTTTCCACTCACAGCCCTTCTATTCACAGCTGCACTCTTGCGCGAGACGGAGAGCCGCTGCGGCGAGCCCAGCTTGCGAGCGAGGGCAGACATGCACGGCGCAAAGCAGGGCGAGAAGATGACGGCCGGCCTAGGCACAGCGGGAGCGCGCGTTCTCCGAAGGGGGGGGTGGCGGAGCAGGGGGGGAGCGGCGGGCGAGGCGGCCCTAGGGGGACGGAGACGCCGTGGAAGCTTCGCGGCTGCGGCGGGGCGACCTCTGCGCCGAGAGCACGCAGGGCGGAGGCGTGCGCGTTGTAGAGCGCGAACTCTGCGGTGGCAGCGGAGTAGGGAGGGATGCCCTTCGCGCTCAGCTGCGCCGCGGTCAGCCGGTCGTTTTTGGAGGGGAAGTAGCCCCACTCTGGCGGCACAGACGTGAAGCCGACGCCCAACCGACCTCCTTCGCACCCGTTGTCGCTTCCCCCGCCGCTGGCGGCTCCGTCTGCTCGCGCGCGAGGCTGCATCAGCCAGGCAATGTCCTGCAGCATGCACTCGAGATGAGGAGATATGGGGAGATATGGGGAGATGTGGGGGGATATGGGGAGATGCAGCAGCTCCTGCATCATGCACTCGAGCCGCGCCGGCCGCCTGAAGCAGCGCCGCTCCGCGTCGGCGTACTTCGGGTTGACGAACTCGCGCACCGCTCCTCCGGAGCCGCGCAGCGCCGCCTCATACTCGGGCAGAGAGAGGAGGATGCCGTTCGTGTTGCCGGGGTACACAGAGTAGCCGCTGCCGCTGTTGACGTCGCCGCCGCCTCCGCCTCCGCCGCCGCCGCCGCCGCCGCCGCCGCCGCCTCCCGCCGCCGCCAGCAGCGGCTCGAGCTGGTTGTACTCAACGGGCAGGAGCGGCAGGGTGAGGGAGCCGTCGCCGCGCTCCCGCTGGAGCGAGCAGAGCACGCCGAGGGCCATCCTCGCGCGGCGAGGCATCGCGACGAAGTTGACTCCGAGCCCGCGCGAGGCGGAGACGCCGAGGGCGGCGAGGTGCGTCGCGAAGTAGTTTGTGGACGAGTCCTGCAGCAGGTAGACCCACCGCCGCCCCTCGCGCAGCCAGCGGCTGGCGACGCCCGAGGTGTGCAGGAGGGAGTGGACGTCGCCGTGGCCGTGCGGCTTTGTGAGCAGCGAGTAGGCGTCGAGCGGGTCGAGCACGAAGGTGCCCGCGGCGTCGGCCAGCGCCGGCACCGTGCTCTGCTGCAGCAGCGTCACCTGCTCTGCCGCGAGCCCGAAGTGGTCGTGGGACGCGAGGAACAGCTCCGTCTTTGCGTGCGTGTCTGCCGACGTCATGATGAGGAAGGGGAGGCGGACGACGCGCCCGAGCCGCTCGGCGAGGAGATGCTGCAGCGCGCAGATGTGCGCCGCGTACAGCTGCAGCAGCGGAGTGCCGGTCGCAATTTCGCAAGGCAGCGCGAGCTTGATGCCGCTGAAGCCGAGCCGCTCGCCCAGCCCGCCCGCGGGAAGCACAAAGCAGAGACCGGCCGCCTCGCTGAGCCCGATCTCCTCGAACCGCCGAAACTCGCTGTCGACCGGGTAGAGCTTCGTCTCCAGCTCCGCGGCCGGCACCGTCGGCCGCCAGCCAGCGAGCGGGTTGACGGCCGCTGCCGACTCGGCGAGCAGCCGGCGCGCGTTTGCGACGTATGCACGCAGGCCGCCGGGGTAGCGCTGGTCAAGCCCGTGGCACTGCTCAAGAAACCGGGCCTTGTCCGGCTCGGCCTCGCCGGCGGGTGGCCAGGAGACAAAGAGATGAGCCTGGCCGCACTCGAGCAGCAGTTCCGCCACAGCGGCGTGACGCGAGCTGAGGCCGGGCCGCGCCGCCTCCAAGGCCTCGGCGCCGGCGCTGGCGGAACTGGATGCGGCGGGCGACGTGGCTGCCGGCGCTTTATGCGGTGTGTCGCAGTGGCAGGTGCGCGAAAAAGAATTTTGCGCGACTCCTCCCTTGGGTTGTCTGTTTTCTTTCTTTCTTACTCTCCTCGGGAGGTTGTCAGTCCCGGTAGGATATGTAAGAGCCACTAATGCAATTGTTGGCCACCTTATGCACATCCATGCCCACGGTCCGTAGGACGTCGCTGATACGTCGTGTATTTTGGAGAGAGATTTTTAAAGACCAACAAGATTCTATTTCTTCTTCTATTTTGGTGCCGTGTCAAGCCGGGTGGCGGCTCAGTGATGCGTCACGCATACGCCTCGCTTTACGCGTACAGACAGAAAGCGCGATCGGTGCTTTCAAATGTGCTGCGTATTATGCGCATGTCTTCTGCACCGATCGTTATACCACCGACGCCTTCTGGCCGCTACGCACCACGCACCACGCATCTGTTTTATGTAAGCTTTGCCAGAGAGGCTCTCTCGGGGTGCTACGCACGGTGTATTACGCACACGTCTAACGCAGTGGGATCGTAAATCGGGGCTGGGTGGGCCTATGACCGACGCATTACGCACATGCACTACGCTCTCGACCGTGAACGGCGGCGGAGAGGGGGTTACGCCTCATGTATTACGCATACGTCTGACGCATCGCTCGCCATGGGTGTCGGGGGGAGCTTACGTCCCACGTACTACGCACACGCATGACGGATTTGACTGAGAAGAGGCGGCCAGCAAGGGTTACGCCTCACGTATTACGCATACGTCTGACGCATCGGTCGCCATGGGTGTCGGGGGGAGCTTACGTCCCACGTACTACGCACACGCACGACGGATTTGACTGAGAAGTGGCGGCCAACACGGGTTGCGCCTCACGTATTACGCATACGTCTGACGCATCCGCCCCACCTAACCCCTAAACAACCCCTAACCGCTAACCCCTACCCCCTATCCCCCACCCCCTACCCCCTAACCCCCAACCCCCAACCCCCTAACCCCCTAACCCCTAACCCCTAACCCCTAACCCCTAACCCCCTAACCCCCTAACCCCTAACCCTAAACTTCGCGCTGCCGCTAGGGCTGCCATAAATTGGCGCTGCCGCTAGGGCTGCCATAAGCTGGCTAGGATTGTATGTGCGCTGGTAACAACAGACTCGGGCATAGCCCTCGACAGCCACCCCCTAACAACCTCACCCCCCCCCTTTATGTGCGCGCACTGGCGCTGCCGCTAGGGCTGCCATAAGTTGGCGCTGCCGCTAGGGCTGGTCTCCAAACACCTCTCCGACGCGCTCGACTACAGTCCAAATTGGACGGTGGACTATATGTCTATATGTCGTATTGGCGGCCATTTGCTCAGGCGTCAGAATGCTAATACACCGTGCGTAGCACCCCGAGAGAGCCTCTCTGGCAAAGCTTACATAAAACAGATGCGTGGTGCGTGGTGCGTAGCGGCCAGAAGGTCGGTGGTAACGATCGGTGCAGAAGACGTGCGCATAATACGCAGCACATTTGAAATCACCGATCGCGCTTTCTGTCTGCACACGTAAAGCGAGGCGTATGCGTGACGCATCACTGAGCCGCCACCCGGCTTGACACGGCACCAAAATAGAAGAAGAAATAGAATCTTGTTGGTCTTTAAAAATCTCTCTCCAAAATACACGACGTATCAGCGACGTCCTACGGACCGTGGGCATGGATGTGCATAAGGTGGCCAACAATTGCATTAGTGGCTCTTACATAGAGGGAGCGGACCGTGAGTTGAGGAAATCGGAGGACGCGACCCACTTCGCCACAGACGGTCCCGCGCCTCGCCGCTAAGACGGGTATACGACCGCGGCTCGTGTGCGTGTACCCGTCTTTGTCCGGAGTGAAAAGTCCAACGCGCTCGTCGGTGACGGCGTCCTCCAACCTGCGCCGCGCTCGGCGAACCTCGACAGCGCTTTCGGTGGCATGCAGCTCTTTGCGCCTGAAGCCTGGAGAGCAGCTCCTCTGCTGCTCACACACTCTGCACAGTTGACACAGCCTACTGTGCGGCTGCCACAGCTGTCACAGCGATGGGCTCGCCCTCACTGGCCCTCAGTCACTTGTGCTGCGGCTTGTGTGAGCGACACTGCTCGGCGACTGCCGGCACACTGTGAGACCATGGGTGTGAGGTTAAACCACGCTACCAGCGCTTGGTCACATCGGCCCCGAGGTCAGATCCTTCTACTCTGTTGATGACAAGACTTGTCTACTGGCTAAAGCCGAGCAGGAGGGCCCAGCGCACAACCCCTGGTCAACTCAGGGTCCACACCCCGTATCCATAGCGGGACTGACAACCTCCCGAGTGCAGAAACATAATGCGTATACGGACTACTAGTACCCTACTACGTCAGCGCCTCCAGGCTGTGGCGCCAGGAAGGGGTACGTATGCGGATACATGATACGATGGGCCTGAATTGATAAAATTATGCTGCGTAAGTGCGGGGCAGGGCCAACATTGAAGTGGATTCTTGTACTGTTTCGTTGAAGAGGAAAATACGCGTTACGTATGCGCTGTGAGCAGGTCTCCGGGGTGAGTGAGGGCCGGCCTTCATATCTGCCTTATTTTGATAACTGCGCCTGTCTACGCACCAGGTTACGCACCCGAAACCAGAGCATAAGGCGATGCGTATTCATTTTGTGGGTTGGGCATATCCATAGCGGGACTGACCACGATTGCTCTCCTCCGTCAGCGCAGCACCGCCCGCGGGCTGGTGAGCGAGGGCAGCTCGTCGTCCTCCGCAAAGTACTCGTCCGCGTCCCACCCGTCGCCCTCCCCGGGCGCCGCCGAGAGCCACTCCACCGCGCTCGGCTCAAAGTGGCGCTCGAGCGCCTCGCGGTCGTGCTTGACAAACACAATCTTCTCGCGCGTGCGCGGGTCGATGAAGCGCCACATGGCCCGGTAGAAGGCGTGGAAGAGGGCGGGCGCGTGCAGGAGCAGGAACTTGTGCGCCCGCTCCGGATAGTGGTTCTGCAGGATCGCCAGCGTGGCGCGGCTGGTGCGCATCGGGGGCTGGTTGAACATCGAGAAGCCGCGAAAGTCCATGACGATGATCGCCTTGCCATCCGGAGAGGGAGGCACGCCCGCCACGGACCGGCCTCCCGTGAGCCGCTCCATGTGGTACACCAGGTTGTTCAGGTTCGCGTCGTGCTCATTGCGGCAGTTCTCGAGCCGCGGCGCCATCCGCAGGACGGGCCGACCCTCGCGGTCAGCAAAGCTGCATACCCGCAGCTTGCCCGTCGCGTTGGCGCGCCGAATGTTGCGGTGACGCGCCTCCAGGCCGCTCAGAAACTGCGCGCGCCAGTCAAGCGTCTCGCAGAGCATCGCCGCCGCCTTGTCCTCGTCGCCCTGCCTCGCGACGAGGTATCTGCGGCAGCAGGCCTCATCCACCCACTCACTCGCTCCCGGCTGGGCAGCCACCCGCTCCATGAGCGCGGCCACCGCCGCGGGCGAGGCGGGGTCGGCCTTGGTGGTTGTCATACCCGGTTTAGCAGGATCGGAGAGAGGCAGAGTGGCGATCGAGACGCGCTTCTCGAGCTCGGCGCGCACCTTTCTACGAAAAAGAATTTTTGGAGGTAGTCAAAAAGAATTTAAAAGGTAACACAGGTACACCTACGGGAGCGGCCTAAGCGACTCCTGGGCGAGGACGGCGAGGCACTAAGCTCCGTGCACTCGACCGCCCTCGCCGGAGGCAAGCTCATTCACAATCTGCTCTGCGATGGCCGTGTGAAGAACGACTGAGATACGCTGCTTCTGCAGCCCTAGCCAGTTCTTGGTGGTCCAAGTCACCTCAGAGCCCAAATCACTGTGTGTGACACATTTCTTGTTGGCTTCTAAAAATCTCTCTCTCGAGGTACTGGGCCCGCCCCCGGGGGGGCGTCAGTTTCCGTGCGAAAAAGAATTTTAGGCGGTGCGGGAGGGTGTAGAGGATGTAGAGTGTAGAGCGCTGTAGAGCTGTAGAGCTGTAGAGCGCTGGAGAGCGCTGGAGAGCTGTAGAGCTCTACATCCGCCGCGGGACGAACTGCGTGCGTTGTAGAGCGATGTAGCTCGATCGGTCACACCGCCACCGCCGCCAAGGAGAGGGGGGACGACACTGCTTCGGCAGCGTGCACCTCGATCCTGTACCGTGTTTGTTATGACCCCCCCCAATGAACACTCCAGTGAGGGAGGGTGAGACGATCGAGGGGTCCCGTACCACGCGGAATCGACCCTATCCAGTGCTCAAGTGCTCAAGCGATGTTAGTAGAGGCGCTCTACATCAACGTGAAATCTCTACAACAAACTTGAAAAGCGGCGAACGAGGCACGGTCGCTCTCCGACATGCGAATGCGTAAAACGTATGCGTAATGCGTGAGACGTAACCCCCGCCGGCCGCCACTTCTCACTCGAATCCGGAATGCGTGTGCGTAGTACGTGGTGCGCAGGCCCTCTCCCACACCTTGGGCGTGCGAATGCATCAAGCGTATGCGTAATGCGTGAGGCGTAACCCCCGTCGGCCGCCACTTCTCACTCGAATCCGGAATGCGTGTGCGTAGCACGTGGTGCGTAGGCCCTCTCCGACACCTTGGGCGTGCGAATGCATCAAGCGTATGCGTAATGCGTGAGGCGTAACCCCCATCGGCCGCCACTTCTCACTCGAATCCGGAATGCGTGTGCGTAGCACGTGGTGCGTAGGCCCTCTCCGACACCTTGGGCGTGCGAATGCATCAAGCGTATGCGTAATGCGTGAGGCGTAACCCCCATCGGCCGCCACTTCTCACTCGAATCCGGAATGCGTGTGCGTAGTACGTGGGGCGTAGCGCGCCTTGAGAGGCACACCCCGATCGGCCGAAGGTGGATGCAGAAGACGGACTCGTAATACGCAAGACATTTGTTGCTCCCTCAGGCGCCACTTGGCTCGGGCACGACACCGAAATACGCGACGTCTGGCCGACGCACTATGGATCGCGGGCGCGTATTGACATAACATGGCCGATCTGTGCATTCTGGGCGATTACATATGCGTAGCAGTCCTGACCACCTCCCCCGGGGAAGACGACTCCGAGGAGGACGAACCAGTGGAAATCCCGTTGTCAGCTGTCACGATGCACCCGAAGGGGACCCCAGCGCCGACATCATCCGTGGAGGCACAAGTTTTAGAAGACAGAGTGGACCTGAGCAACGATATGACTGGGCGGCAAATGATCGCAGTGGGCGTCAGAAGAGTCGTCCTTGCGCGAGGAGAGCTCGATAGACTCGAGCCGATGGGCCAAGATATGCCCGGACGACCGCGAGGTGGCATGAAGGTTGCAGCGAGAATCGGCGAGAGACTGCGAAGGGAGATAGGAAGAGGCGGACGCCCAAGGGTGGGTGACGGCTAGCGCATCACACCCCTCTCCTTAAAATCCCTGTGTGGTGGCGGCGTGCGCGCCCACGTGCCGTCCTCGACCTCCCATTCCCTCCCGTGCAGGGTTGTCCGTTTTCTTTCTTTCTTTCTTCTTACCACTTTCTGTATTCTGAAAAAAATGCGAAAAATACCGAGACGCTTGCCACCTTGCCCCCGCCCCCCCCAGCCGGTAACTTCCGACAGACACACACCTGTGTGGAGCAGCGCAGTGTTGTGTCGCGGGGCCGTGTCGGCGGCTTGCGTGGCCAACGTCCGCTTGTGCAGAAGCCGGCCCCAGCTCGAGTGCCAGCTGCGAGGGTGGGTGGGCAGGAGGGGAGGGGGGGAGGGAGGGGGGGGGGGGGGGGAACCGCCTGGGACACATTCCACCGGGCCCCGAAAGGGGGGAACCCCCCCCCAAGGCCACCACTCGCGCGACTTGCATCGCTCCGGAAGGACAACCCCTTGTGAAGGAAGGGGGGGGGGGGGGGAAACCCCCCGCCGAAAAAAGGGGGGGGGGGCTCAGAGCGGTCGAGGGGCTGGCGTCGAGTCATCTCTCCCCAGATCTCCCGCAATCTCCCGCGAGCTGAGCGTCGAGTCCGTTCACGCCGTGAAGCAGTCCAGCCCCTTGACGGCCTGGAAGGCCTCGGGCGGCAGGAAGGAGGCGAGCACCGTCCGCCCGTCGAACTGCTTCCCGTGCAGCTCCTGCGGCGCGCCAGGGGGGAGGTGTGGGGAGGTGTGGGGAGGTGTGGGGAGGTGTGGGGAGGTGTGGGGAGATATGCGGACATGTACATGTGCTCTTCTCCGGCATCATCTCCGCTCCGCTCGTCTCCCGCGTCTCTCCTTCACCTTTCCGCAAGCGAGCGCCTCGGCGGCGGTGCCGTACTCCGCAAAGAGCTTCAGCGCGATCGCAGCCTCCTCCGCCCCCGAGCCGGCAGGGCCGGACACGCCGGGCTTGGGCACGTAGAGGGAGACGGCGCCGTGCTTGGAGCACTCGGACCTGCAGAGGGGGGGGGGGTGTACTGTGGAGGTAGGGGATGGGACACGGCGCCGTGCTTGGAGCACTCGGACCTCGCGTCCTCGAGGATCTCGCCCATCTCCTCGGCGCTGGCCAGGTCCTCCTTTGACACCATCGCGTCGAGGACGAGGACGGGCGTCGCGGTCGACGGGTCGACGGGCGGCGGGCCTGCTGGGGCCGCGGCGGGCGCGGCGGGGGGCGCGGCCAGGCCGAGCTGGAGTAGCCCTCCGCTGCTCGCGGCGGAGGGGGGCGCCGCCGCGGCGAGGAGGTCCTTCCCGTCGGGCGAGATGGAGGTGTTGCCGAGCACGCCCGCCGCGCGCAGCTCGTCCAGCATCGAGTCTGGCATGGGCGCGTAGTCGCGGGGTCGCTCGATGCGGAGCTGCTTGCCGGCGAGCTCGATGTTGTTGAGCGCGATGCACGAGGTCGCCTAGTCCCATACCTCCAGAGTCTCGAATCCAGCGTGTGTGGGTCCAGTCCCGTGGGTGGTGTGGCAACACGGCGTCGCCTCGGCGATGGTCCGAAACTCGATCTCCCCACATCTCCCCATATCTCCCCGTATCTCGCCTCGGCGATGGTCCGAAACTCGATGAAGCCGAACTTGCCCTCGGAGCCGATCATCGAGTCGATGACAGGGTCGCCCTCCTTGGACGAGTCGTGCAGGTTCGCCGACGTGATGGCGGCGTTGAAGAACTGCTTGAGCATCTCGGCCGTGAGCCCCGCGCCCAGCGGCAGGTTGCCCACGTGCACCCTCCTCGCCCGCCGCGTGAGGCCGAGGTTGTTGTTTGCGAGGCTGCCTAGCGCGCTGACGCCCGCGGCGGCGGCACCGCTTGCGGCGGCGAGGGGGACCGCCGCAGCAGACATCGCCGCGAGGGCGGCGCCCGAGAGGCCGGAGACGGACCCGCCGGGCGGCATCCCCGACGCGGTGAGCGCGGCCGAGACGGCGGGGTTGCCGACGGCGGACAGCTGCGCGCCGTGCAGGCCGAGCAGCGAGGCGGTCGAGGTCGGGACGGTGGACGAGGTGACGACGGAAGAGACCGACTGCGGGATGAGCACCTTGTCGAGTCCGGGCGGGGGAGGCATGTAGTCGTTCGGCCGCTGCACCTTGAGCGCTCGGCCGAGCAGCTGCATCCCGTCCAGCACCAGCGCGTTCGTGCACTCGAGCACCGACCGGAACTCGACAAAGCCAAAGCGCGCGTCGCCAGACATGTGGACGTCGTTGATGCAGGGCGCCTCGTCGAGGGTGAGCTTGGCCGCGCTCAGCGTCGTGTTGAAGAGCTCGCGCATCGACTCCAGCGTCAGCCCCGGCGGCAGGTTCCCAATGTGCAGCCGCCGCGCGCGCCGCGTAAGCGCCGCCTGCTGCTGCAGCAGCGCCGTCATCATCGCGGTCTCCTGCATCCTCGCCATCGCGTTGGGCAGCGCGCTCCCCGCCGCCCCCGCCGCCGTGTTGGCCGGCGGCGCCACCTCCTGCCCGGACGAGTCCACGTCCCACATCCGGGCGCGCCGCCGCTTGCGTCCCTCGCCGTCCTTCTGCGCTTCGGGCGAGCGCCGGCGCGGGCTCGGGGAGCGCCGGCGCGGGCTGGGCGAGCGCCGGCGCGGACTCGGGCTGCGCCGGCGAGGAGGGGAGCGGTCGCGGTAGTAGCGCTCGCGAGAGCGGGAGCGGGAGCGGCGCGTGTACATCTGCCTGAGTTTGTGCTGGATTTGTTACGGATGTGGGGCGGGGGTAAACCTCAGTCCGAGCCTGGCTGTTCTTCACCTAACCTAACCTAACCTCGCAGAGCCGAGCGGTGTCGTCCCCCCTCACCATCATCTCACTGGGAGACGTCGGCGGTGATGGCGGCGTGACCGATCGAGCTACAAGAGGAGCTTGTTCAGCAGGATCCGTGTCACCGGGCGGCGGGTTTCCCGATGGGCGATGGATGGCCGGCTGAGGGCCCGAGGGTTGCGGAAGGGGCGCGGCGGGGCCGGGCGGGCTCGGCGTCGAGCCCGGCCCGGCCGCCGCCACCCGGGGGGCCGCCGCGCCGCGAAGCGGCGCCCCGGTCTTCCTACCGGCGATGCACGCGGCCGCGCTTGGAGGCGCTTGCTGCTCGGCCGCGCGGGGCTGGTCGACTCGCCCGCTGGGAGGTTGGTGTCCGGGATTTGGGTCGGGGTTCCCCGCGCGGCGCGCCGCCGCCGCCGAGGTGGTGGTGGTCTTGGTCTCAGCCTCGGTCTCGGTCTCGCGGTCTCAATCGCCTTGGGAATCTCGGGCATCTTGGCCTCGTGGTTGGGGTCGTAGAAGCGGGCCCCGAGGGTTCGCACTCGCTCCCTGTCCCGATACATCTCGAGCGCCACCCGGAGGCGCTCGACCTCCGCCCGCGCCCTCGCGAGCTCGGTGTGGTCCGCCCCGTCCCTCGGGCCCGTGGGATATACGCCGTCGAAGTCGACGTAGCGATCCGCCGTGTCTGAAGGGACCCTCCCTTCTGTGTCTGTCCCATCCTCTGCAGTCCGCAGTGGGGGGCTCGTCGAGCCACGGCGCACCCTGTGCTTGTCCCGGCCAACGCCGGGGGCTTCCGTGATCCGTGTGCCGAGGGCGCGACCGCCAATTGCAACGTTCGCCCAGGTGTCGTCGCCCGGAGCATACGGAGTTGGGGGCGGCTGGCCCTGCAGCAACGGCTGCTCTTGCTCGAAGGCGCCCCCGTTGGGTGCGCCGCGCGTGTTGTCACTTGCGTATGGCACTGGGTGCCGTGGCGCGTTGGGGTCGCGTGCTCCGTGGCCCGGGCCGTGGTCCGCACCGGGTTCATCCCGTCGCCGTATACCTCGCGCGTGCCCACAGGGGTGTGCGCTCCCACAGCATAAGCCTCAACGAGGTCCGCGTTGTCGTCATGGTCAGACGCTCCGTCAGAGCGTGTCTCGGGCGGGCTGGCTGGTGAGCCCGTTGTGCTCGTCGTGCGTCCCCCGCCGATAGATTCGCTCTCCCAGGCTCCCAACGGTTGGAAGTCCACATGCGGTGCCGCAGTCCACATCGTGGTCGCATGTGGCTCCCACTCTGGAAGGTCATCATGTTCGAGCCTTCCCTTGGGATCTGCCTCGAGCCGGTCCAGGATGTCAAACCCGGTAGTTCTGCGCTCCGCCCCGACGTCTCCCGTCGTTACGCTTCCCCAGGCTTCCCCCTCAGGGAAGTCTTGCAGCGGAGGCTCGGCCCCTGACGTGGCCGCTGCTCTCCCCTCTGGAGGATCACTCGCCCACCCCGAACCCAGCTCGCGCGAGCTCGCTGTATGGGTGGTTTTGCTCATACTCGACGGACCCACGCGACACTCGCGCGGGCCGGCTGCAGAACTCTCCCACAACCACGCTGCACCCAAGACTGGGGTCAACGACAGAGATGAAACGACATATCAGCCCGCCGACAACGATTCGACTCACGGACACAGTATCTAAACACGGCGAAGGACAATCTCGAGTTCCCTTCTCAGCCCTTCGCAGGCTTTGGTGCAATTACCTTCCCCCGCGACAATCCGGGTGGGCGGAGCAGTACCTCACTTCCTCAATCGAGGTGAGCTTCAGATCTCATGGCCAGCGCCACCACACGCGTCCTCCCCTTCACCCCTCGGCTGGCGTGTGGATTTGAACCACGGCAGGCCCCTAAATAAAGGCCCTACGCGCGGCACTAAGGTAGTATGGTAAGGCGGTAAACGTCTCCACACACACAAAGTGGTGGGGCAAGGCCTTCGCCCAGGTACCGGAGGACGGCACGCCGCCACCACACAGGGATTTTAAGGACAGGAGTGTGATGTCTAGCTTCTCTCTTGGAGCACTTGGAGTGCAGTCATTAGCCTCACATCCAGGGCCGGGGAGCTGAGAAGCGCACCCAGCGGGCCGGATGATCGGGATCGGGTTACGGGCAAGAGAGCCCTAGCCCTGCGGGGTGCGCGTTCGCAGGGAAAGGGCCGTAAAGTAAACACGGGTCTCCGAGGGTTGGCTCTGCGCTTTGGGTGTCCCCTAGCGGCGGGACGCACCCTCTACTCGGAGCTAGTATGTTTTCTTTCTTTCTCTACTCGGAGCCATTGATACGAGAATACGCACATGTTACGAGAATACACACCGCCCCCACGGAATACATGTACTACTCGACGATAATACAAGCGCAGCTTGGAAGTTGCAGACGCCTATAAGGAAAAACAGCAAGCTAAATTTCGGCGGCTAAAAAGCAAAGGACGGGCGCTTTTGATCGGCAAAGCAAAGTTGGAGTAACGGCGACCGCGTTCGCAATGAAGTCGCCTGTCGAGCAGCTTCCGCGGCGCGCATGCGCCGCGAGGTTGACCGACAGCCGCGCCTCTCGCGCCTCCCGTGCCACGCGCGGCGACGCGCGCGCCGCGCGCCACTCGCCGTGGCATGCAGTACAGTGCCACTGCAGCCTCGCCAACGCCGCACACAGAACCAGCAGGCTGCTCACCAGGCAGCACAGTGCTGCACCGGCAAGCAGCGGAGGCCATGGCGCTGCGGCGCCGCCTCCCTGTCCTGTCCACGGAGCAGGCACACGGCGGCACGGACCTCCACCAGCTGCAGGAGGTGCGCACCTCCCAGTGGAAGCACCAGATGCTCCCTCACCACCCGCAGCTTTGCGCAGCGCAGCGCGCGGGTGGGCCACGCCACGCAGAACCGACCCTCAGTCTGCCCAAGAGGCTGCCTGCGGAAGGCCTGGCGATGCCCACTCGCCTCCTCCGGCCATGCCCTCCGCCCGGGCGAGCGAGCAGCGGATCGCCACTCGAAAGAGAGTCTCCTTCGTTGCTTTGGAGCACTTGGAGTGCAGTCATTAACCTCACATCCAGGGCCGAGAGAAGGATGCTTCTAAGAAGGCTTGATGTTCATCTTCTGTCTCGCCATCGCGCGTACGCCAGGCCTTCCTCGCCGCTCCCTCGGCCTCGCGCGACGCCAACCGGGGCATGTTCTGAGGAGCCATGCGCGACCTGGCTGGCCTTGCCTTATTGCCGCTGGGCGAGTTCCTCACCGAGGTCCTCGGCCCGCTCGGACCACCATTTTGGCCAGCGATCTCGGCCGCGGACGCGCAGGCCGAGCCCGCCGCTGAGCCGCCCGACGTTCGAGCGGCAAGCGTCGCTGAAGCATCCAACAGCACGTGCGCAGCAAAGAGCGCTAGCGGCAGCGCTGGCGACGGTGGCGACGGTGGCGAGGGGGGGGGCGAGCGACGCCCGCTGACCAAGCAGGAGCGCGAGAGGGCGAAGCAGCACCCAGCAGACGGCGCACCGCTCCCAGCAGCACCCAACAGCAGCCGCTCCAAGCCTTCGATCGATGGCGCGGATGGCGCCGTCTCGCTCGCGGAAGTGAACGGAGGACAGCCCGCGCCGGCAGCAGAGGCGCCCGAGTCACGTGCGACGGGCAGTCGATCTGCGGCGGGTGGCACGCTGGCCGATGTGCTCATCCCGTTTACCACGCCAAAGGGCGCTCCCCACCTGTGGTGCACTCGCTGCGGCTCCGCGCTCACGTTCAGCCTCGAAAGGGCGGAGCTTGTGCGGGCCCACCTGGGAGGCAAGAAACACAAGAGAGCGACAGCTTCGGGCGCGCACCACCCGCTGCCGAAGCAGAAGAGGCCGAGGGATCGAGAGGCAGACGCGTCGGCGAAGCAGCCGGGCGCAGCACGAGGTAGCTGCGTGCAAGGCAGTCCCGTGCCAGCGCCCGCTTCGGCCGCCTCGGCCGCTGCCCCACCCGCAGCAGCCTCACCCGCAGCAGCTCGCGACGCAAGGCCAAGGAAGCAGCGCGCGCGCCCGCGCATGCGTCCGGCCTCTGCGCCTGCTGCCCCTTCTCCCACCACTACCGCCGTCCCTGCCGCTGCCGCCGCCCCTACCACTGCCTCCGCCCCTGCCCCTGGCTCCGCAGCTGCACCTGCGGCTG